GTCCACCTCCAACACGTCATCGGCGCTCTCTGGCCGACCTGAGGCTGAGACCTCATCAAACCAGCAACATGTAGATACTGACCAGTGGCCGCAGTCGGCCGCAGTCGGCCAGGGAGCGCATGCGGTGGAGGTGGAATTACTTCATTCATAAAAAGGCTGAAAGCCGCTAGCTGCTTGCCTTTTTAGCACAATGTCAATGTATTAGAAGTTACGGAATAGTGGTAGCGACCTCGGCGATAATTATTTGATAAGTAATTAGTTAGTTGTTTGCTCCAACCCTGGTCCTGGAGCTAGCGCTTTCCCAGCCGACCTGACCGGACGAGTGGAAGGTTCGATGGACTTCTTGTGTGCTCTGGCCAGTCTGGCCAGTCTGGGCAGCAGTCGTGAGTCGGTCAAGTGTCAAGTGTCAGGTCGGCGGGAAAAGCGTGGACACATGATGTGGAGTCAGTGACTGGTGGCTAGCAAACGAAGCGAGACAAGTATGGTACATGTACATGTACATGATTGTGCAATGACTACATGTACATGTATCTCCATCAAGTCCCATGTCCATGATTTGTTGCCCTAGGACAATGACCTTTGTCCTTGCATGAAAGTGTGCTCTTCAATGAGTCTTCATCCACCAACACTACCGGCTCGAGACCAGTATTATGACGACCCTTTGCCTTTGTAGTCAACCCTGTCAAAATAATGTCATCCATAAGTTAGCATAACAGTCTCTTCTCAATCTCATACTCATAGCATGTGACATGGGCCATTGATGTTGCAGTTGACGGGATCCCGGATCAGGAAGATAGACTGACGCGCACACGTGTGCTTATGACAATAAAGACAATTGTGAAGCTTTGCCTGGCCCGAAGCCTACATGTACTGTAGGTGAAGGGTTGACTGACGTTCTCACTTCGCAGACGTGTAGACCTACACACATGTTGTTAGTTTGACAGCATAAAACAAGGTGGAGGACACTGTGTTCGGAAAAAGTGGCCTTCGTCCTTACTACAACTATCCACGGTTGGCAGAGCCCCGGTCCGTTGACCGTGGATGGTTGTAGTAAGGTCACTGTTTCCGAACACAGTGTCCTCCATCTTGTTTCATGCTGTCAAACTACTCCATTTCAGTTGCTTGAACTGCCCATATTGGGAGTCATAGTAGGTCTACAGTTACCGGGTAGATCTACTACTAGTACTAGTACTAGTGGGTAGTTGAACACCAGCACCGTGCCCATACCGAGTACCACGGTGTCTACGCTGTGCAGCATCTCGTACAAGCCGTCGTTTCATTGCGCGCTAATGATTACATTATTTTTATGTGCGAAAGCTCTCTCACGACACAAGTCTCAGTCTCACAGTCTTTTAAATAATTATTACTCTTACTCTTAGATTAGAACGTCTGACAGTGACACCACGAAGAGAACAGGTGTCCAAAGCAAGCTGTCAAGAGACTGGACGCAACAGACGTCAATTGTTTCTGTGACTGACGTGCAGTCACGTGAATTGCGTGTCTGCAACTGCACCGACTAGCACGAGACTACCGGTATGGCCTGTATTAACACTACCTTCACTCGTACTTTTTGTTTTCGTTTTTCAAATACCGGTACGTTGTACATGACTGGCTTTTTCGCGCGCGAATTGCAAAAGCTCTTTACAGTACTAGTGTCTGATGTGACAATGCCATTGTGAAGGGAACAGCCGGATTAGGATTTCCAAAGCAACCTGTCACGTAATGGTACAGGACAGTACTCAGTAGCTAAAACAATGACACTGTGATTGTGAGAACAGAAAACAGGCGCTAACTACCGGACTACCGGGTACCTGCTGTCACTAGTGTCAGTCATAAACTAGTGCAATCAGTCATGATGTACCGGTACCCTCGTCGACGGGTGCTAGAATGACAGGCTCTGCACTTCTTTTCAAGCTACTGTACATGTATGGCAGCGCCAAAGGTGAAATGCTGCTTGTTGTTGACATTATGATTTCAGGTGGAGTTCGAAAACAGGTTTGAGCCAAATAATAACAATGGTCCCACTGGTACAACGATAAAAGAAGAAAAAGGAAAAACAAGTAATGGAAGTGGGAAAACAATTAGCACACAAGCCAAACAAAAAGAAAATGATACGAAAGGAAGAACTGGAAGTACTGAAGTGAAAAAAGAAATGATACATGCGGCGAGTACGGAAGTACAAACACAGCAACAGGGAAGGCACCCTTCGGAAGGGAAGGGAACAGAAGAGAATAAGAGAAGACAAGGGAAGAAAAGGGAAGAAAGGGAAGAGAAAAATGGAGAAGAGAAGAGAAAAGGAGAGAGAGAGAGAGAGAGAGAGAGAGAGTCGTATTTTCTTTCAGCTTTCAGCTAATGACTATGGACCTTCTGGTAAATCGATGTCTTTGACTTTGTCAGTTTGTGTTACTTCTAGCCAGTACAATACCGTAGACTAACGTTAGTACTACTCCCTGGTAGTAAGCAAAGGCCATAGGCCCATAGCCATGATAACAGCAGTAGCATACAGGTACTAGGTATACCCACGATAACGGCCAGGGGGGGTCTGGGGTTACTGGGGTTACTGGCCATGGCATTACTATACATGATGTATTTTATGATACAACCTATTAAACACTGGTTAAAAACCAGTATTAGATAAACCTTGTTATACCTGTCAATCTAACAATTGTATGATGTATTTTGTACAGCAAGATGAATTCAGTCGACTGCCGACTGTCCACACTGACATGGAGGACCACACTAATGATGACAGAGTGCTAATTTTGTACAATCAGTCATGTAGCTTTGTAAGCTAGGGTTTCACGACGCCCTGCGTAGGCAGGAGCTAGGCCAAACCGATACCAGCACTGCCTATTGCCGGCTTTTTCGTCGTGCGTGGTTGGCCATGTACTAGCTGTATGATGTTCAAAATAATATTATTATTATGATTGTGCAGTTCATTACTAATGATTGTACGACGAGTGCAGCTGCGCAGTCCGCAGGTAGTAGACATCATGTCAGAGTCGACATGTCGTAGATCTACTCGTAGATCTACAAACCTTCCCTGGTATCGATAAGTGGTAGCTAGTGTAGATGTTTCTATCCAGGGCAGACTGTTACTTATACTTATAGCCTGTGGAGTCGCTAGTAGTGCAGACAGAGGTGCACCCCCCCCCCCCCCCCCCCACAAAGTCGGGCTGTACTAACAACCAGGGAGTAGTACAATATTGTACTACTAGTACTCCCTGCTAAGAACGAAGTAAAAAGACTAACAATAGCAGCCATCTGTATTGTTCAATCCACAAAATGTGATGCAGAAAGTGAAGAACCATCCGAGGTAAATAGCCATTGTAAATATGAAAAAAAATGTTATTGTGCCATGCCAGTCGGCATGCCAGCGGGCTATGTATGAACCCACAAAGCCTCAAAGGTGCAAAAGACTACCAGTACTGTACTAGTAACACTTACTGACTTGTACTGACTACATGTACATGTACATGTACATGTATTTGTGTTGTTCTCGGCGTGCCAAAGTCTCAGCGTGAATCATTCATGCACACTTTACATCTTTCAAAGCATTCGTCTAGGGATTGAGTTGAATCTTTTACACAACCTTGTTACATCTGCCTTGAGTTTCTTTGGATTAGACTATATCAAATTTTCATTTTCATTTCATAGTCGAGTTTCATCCCGTGTATCTTTGGTGTTCCTCCTTCTTTCCATGTCGTATTGTTTAAATAAACCCGTTTTGACTACAGTAACACTACTGACTGTACTGTAGTGTTAGTGTTAGTCTTACCATAATAATATTATTATACTTACAGTACAGTTTGTCAGATACATGTACATGTACGAGCCTAGTGCCTTTTTCCATAATCATAACTACTATGCTGTAGCTCTAGCTGTAGCTCTAGTCAGTATTGTACATGAGTCATGTACAATGACGTACTCTTACTCAAAGTCGCACTGTTATGAGTCTTATGACTCATACAATTATGAGTCTAATGACTTTTAATTAGGCCAAACTAAAGAAGGTGTGTGGTTCGACTCACCCGACCGACCGTACAATTTCAGCCCGACCGTAACTTTTTTTCGGCGGGCTGTCGTGTGACTGACGTACGTGGACTGAACACGTCCACGTCTACGTGCTGTGCGGCGTGAGTCTGCGGACGCAGGCGGCTCCTTTTGGACTTGACTTGTAGTTGTACTGCAGTGCAGTGCAGTGAGTGGTACGACTGCTGCCTTGTGGTGGAAGTTGTGCTGGTAGTAGAGTCTACTCGATACGCGTATACAGTGTATTTACATGTACTAAAGAATATATTTAAAAAAAAAAATCCGCCCGCCCGCCCGTAAAAAAAATGTCCATGTTAGTCGAACCACACACCTTCTTTAGTTTGGCCTTATCACTATTTTTTTGTCTTTCGAGTTTTGTCCATTTCCATTTCCTGCCTACTGCATGCACTGATGATATTATGACTTATGTCAAGCTTTGCACATGCACTGCGAGTCGTGACCAAGTGACGAAGTGTAGATCTACCACACACGGACGGTTGGGCCACAGACAGTCGACAGTCGAGTCAGTACTATGCACTGGTCTTGCTGCACCGCGATGTCCGTATCTACCCGCACCCGCGCGCCGCGTAGATCTGCGAAGCGCCAAAATAGCAAAAAGGAAGTCACGTTAGTGGTGCGCGCACACTTAGCACAGACCTTTTCGCTTTTGTTACGCTGCACTGGCGACTACTAACACTACCACTACCACTGTACCAGTGAGTGATGAATGTAGATCTACATACATGCACACCGCGCCGGTCTGCACGTCCCCTCGACCATGTCGACGGGGGCTCGTAACTGCCACACAGTCACACTACTGCATGCTGAGTACTGGCGCGTAGCTGTAGACAAGCAGTGTTGAAACCAAACTCCAAACATAACTGATACTGATAGTGATACAGTCTACACATACAGTCAGTAGTAGATTCTACGCTCAGTTTGAACTGTACTGCGGCCTGGGTCCGCGCGTATCTCTGCCGACTCTAGCTACACAAGTTCACAAGTCAACTGAGTCCGTTGAGTGTTGTAGACTAGACCTGTACACTGGCTGTAGCTCTACTCCTAGATTTTCATTTCTTGAGTGTGGGACAACACAAACAGTAACAGTTACCTCGGCTCTACTTCTGTGAACAACCTACTACTGTACTAGTTTGTGAACCTACCCGTCTTGGCCGAACTCACTTTTGTTGCTCCGTCGAGTCCCACAGCCTTCTGAAGTGCATTGGCAGCAGGGAGTAGCACACGCTGTGTCCTGGGCTAGGATAGAGTCATTTTGAGGCCCGTGCGAGTGCGGAGCACAGTTTCTGTTCAGGAAGTGATTGCCGCCGCTTCTGCGTCAAGCACTCTTTCACATTGACCCTGGCCTGGAAAACCTACGGCGAGAGTGTGTGCGTTTGAAGTAGATCAGCAACTAGCAGTGCTGCCTGCTCTTTTGCCGCTGCCTCCTCGCAGTACTACGGACACGGGCAATTTAGCAACCGAAGTTCCGAACTCCGGCTGCTGTTGCCGCTTCTGCTTTCTCTCCGACTCTGAAAAGGTACTAGTACGAGTGCTCCTATCAATAATATGTCGGCTTTCATGTCTTCTCGTTTCTGTGCATATTGCAAAATGGTCGACTCTCTCGCCTTTTCTGTTATTGGGACTTGGCGTGCCTTGCAATTGCGTTCGCACAGCTTTCCTTTGTAGACTTAGCAGCTATGCACGCCAGCCCAGTGTCTGAAATTTTGTTCTTGTTCTTGCTCGTTTGAAATCTGTGTTCGTTCACTGCAGTAATTTCCGCGCATTACAGTTGCGTCTGTGACACTTGCAAAGAAGGCGAAGATGGCTCTTGTTCCTCATAGAAGTCCATTTGTTTTCCTAATAATCTCTAGTATTCTATGCTGTGCGCAAGCACAGCTTCCTGGGGGCGGACCTCTCGAAGGTGAGAGCTGTGGACCTGGAGTGAACCTGGTCTAGACATAGTGGTCATATTCAATATCAATAATTACTTTTGTGTCGTGAACTTGCTGTGCTAGCAGATATCACGACTATTGTGTACCTACTCGTCTTTGTGCGTTCGCGTACCTAGCAGGTCTCTGTGTCCGGCTTGTCCACGCGGACACTCGGGTGTCGCGGAGTGTATGGCTATAGTTTTTGGCAGTTCGCGTTTCGTGTTTTTGGTGGCCAAGATAAACGCCTGTAGTGAGACTGTGGTGTGCAGTCGCGCTGCTCAGGACTGTTTGCCGGATCAGCGTCGTTCAGTGCAGTTCTGAATGGCTATCTGCGGTGCCCTTCTCACGCCTCTGCCGCCGATCATATCCCAGCATTCATAGAAAAAGAGAAATGTAGCTAGCTAATCCATCCCATAAATTCAGCAATAATTCTCTAGTTCTGTATGCTATGCTGCAGCACAGTACACTGTACAGTGCCTTGCACTCTGTTTGAAGAAAAGCAGTTACAAGTAATTAGTTAGTTGTGACGCAGGTCGACAGTCTGGGCGCACAGACTCAATCTATTGCTGTGACCATCTCAGTGCTACACAGCCCAGCACTCTTTTTTGACCACATTTTTTGTTACCTGCATCAACCTGAGACGTAGCCCAGACGGCGGCATGGGAGTATGTCATGGACGATTGTCAGTTTGCGCCAAAGAATTAGATGTGTACTGTAATCTGTCACATAATTTTAGACCAGACTGTGGTCTTATAATCGAAAAGTCGCTTTTTTCAGTCCTTTCACAAGTGCATTTCGTTTGAATAATAAGAACATGGTCTTATGTGCGAGAGACGAGCATCGCATCAACATGTACATGTGTGAGTACGACGTGCATATGGTGTGCATGCATGCTCCACACATCTGACATTGCAGCACATGCACCGGTACGGAAATTGGTGTTGCGATTTTCATTGTGGCCCTTCCCACTGCGGCCACGTAAGTCGTGCGACTGTGCCACCAGGTCCGTATGCAGGGTTCAACCTGCCCAGTCGAAATAACGTTAGGTCTAAATGACCCATCTACAAATTGTTGGGCCTCTCACAGGAAGACCCATTTAACCTTCTGTATACTGTAGTTCCATACAGTCATACACCCGCAGTCCTGTATTCAGATAAGAGCCAACCTCCATTTATAAAGCCAAGGGCTAATAAACCGACACAAATATGGACTGGCTTGTCAAGTAGAATTTTTCACAAAGCGAGAACTCTTGCTACCGTGCATGGCACAGCAGATCACTGCGGTTTACCAGTAATGTACTGTATATCCACGATGCGCATGGACTTTTACTTTTTTTGGTATACCTTCACTTTTCGATTGTTGGCCCAGGGCTAAAAAACGAGCAATTTTCACAGATATTTTGCCCCGAAACTGCAATATTTCACATATCAGCACATGGGTGTAAGTGATGGCAAGATTATAGGGCTTGAAAGTGATGACGTCAAAAACGGCCAGGGAGTAGTAAGTTGACATCAGATTTCTGTTTTGGATCCACTAAGGTGTGACTTTGCTATTGCCTCAGTATGTGGGTGCATAGCAACCCACTCATGTCGTATGCAGGGGTGACTTTTACTTCGCCACCAGTTGTAACCCCGCCCCCAGTAGCCAAATCAGTCAGTTTCACTGGCTACATCACCTTCCTGTGAGTAAGACGGCTTGAAATGCGCTTGGATCCATACAAAAACTGGATCCAAGTGGATCCAGTTTTTGAATTTTTGAAATTGTTGCTATGCTGTGACGTAGCACTTTCAAGCCCGATTGGCTTCGTAAAAATGCGTTTGTACATAGCTGAAAAGTCACGAGTTTTGTATATAGATGTAGTACTTTTCTCATTGCATCGTATGCAAATTTTGTACGTATGTGTGGAAAAAAGCATTAGATTAACTTACGTGAGATAAGTCGCTGTTTGTCTGAATCGAGAGATCATTTTTGCACATGCGTATCTCTTCGCTTGTCTTGCCAAAGCCTAACTTTAGGCTTTTTGTGAAAAAGAGCACAACTGGCGGGTAATTTGGGCGAAAGGGAAATCCCCTGGCATGCTCCAAAAAACTGCGAAGTCCCGATCAAAAAATCGCGATCGCTCCATGCTGAAAGGAAATTGACGTTGTGGTAACATAATACTATGAGTTATTTATACTTCGAGTTGTTTGCACAGCGCAACTTACCTGTATTCTTGAGTCCCACATAGTAGTATCGATTTGTTGGGATCATGGAACTGTGGCATGTTGATATCTAGTGTTGAAACGAATAATCGAATAATCGAATTATTTAGAATATTCGTGGGGTGAACGAATAATCGAATAGTCGTAGGAATTATCAGAAATCGAAAAAAAAAAAAAAAAAAAAAAACCCATCTATGCTCAGTGCTGACCCTACTGAAATTTGCACTGCGTAGATCTGCTCGTAGTATTATTTTCTTCTCAAACTCTTCTCCTCCAAGTCTTAATCTCGTATCGGTATCTAGTAATGCTTCTGTTCTTTCCATACGAGGGAAACATGGATGCAGTGAATGTGATTTTCGGTCTTTGACCACTTTCGACCAAGACCCTATGCAGAGCTGTATCAGGCGTTGCGCACTCTGGAGGGGGGGGTTATGTACTCTTGGCGGTACAGGTTAACCGGTTTTGCACCTCCACATAACAAAATCCGATAATCAGCAAATTTTTTTAAAGAAAACTACTTAAAAAGTGCTGAAAAGTGTTAAAAATGCCATCATGTGCATGATAGAATATAGATTATTCGTTCGATGGAGGGCGAAATTATTCGATAGATTATTCGTTCGAAGAATCCGTGTTCGGTTTAAACACTATTGATATCTAATCTGTTTGTAGCGATATGACTTCTTTCTATTCTGTTCTCTTGTGTTTGGCTTCATTTATTTTGTTCGAAGACTGCGTTTCTTTGTATTTGTTTATCTGTGGTTTTTGCGTGTTTCCACATTTATTTGAGCCGCGTGGCTGTGCATCCGCGACGCCGCGGGACTTATGCCATACCATATGGTTATCGTGCATGCGTACGCTGTAGAGATGCATATGCGCAGACTCGTGCGTACTACTGCTGGCTTCCTGACTTGCATTTAGGTTCCTGTGGTTGTCCTTTATCCTTGTCTTTTTCGTCTTGCTCTACATACATTGAACCAATAATTATGTCAACGGTCTGACTGGAGTGCTTGCTGTGTGCGGAGCGTACTATTCCTTTACCATAACAATGCCATCATTTCCATGTTCATTTTGCCGCCGCTCAGTAGCACCGGACATAGACGATGGTGGTGGACAGATCTGCATTGTAAAAGAAGAAAAAGAGTGATGATGCTATGAAAGTGTGCTTGTTGCCCAAAGAGCACCATGTGGCTAACTAAGCCATTGTGTCTGAACTGCTTTGTGTTTTCTGGTAGAATTCCATGTATCTGGCTCCAATGTAACGGCCGTAACATGCAACACTTCCGACCCGACCACAATTAGATTTGTGCACCTAGGTGCTGGCGGCGTTAGTGCAGCGCAACTGGTTCCTTTTTACGATGCTTCTGATTCCACCCAAACTGAGTTCCAGCGTTTGATTTCAAATACGAGCAGCTACTTCATCTACCAACTTCACATTATCAATTATGACGGAATACGAGCAGTCTATGGGTGTGGGCCAGTAACATCACTTGCCACTAGTCAGTATACCATTCTACGCACTGGTAAGTGAAAATGCATAAATGCCGAAGTATGATGTGTTTTGGTTATAGATAATGGTGGAGAGAGGGGGAGGGAATGGTGGACTGGGCGACGAGGAGGTAATAGTGTGCCAATAGCCATTTGACCACTGCGGTTGCGCGAAGGACACAAAAAAAAGGCAATAGGATCGATTTTTTGCTTCTCAAGCTTGTGTGGCAGCAGCATACCTGGTGTACCATGGTTTTCAAGAGCTTTGCCAATGACCCCAAGATTGTCAAAATCGGTAAAATAGAACTAATGTTATAATTATTGTCTCCACGCCGCCTTTTTAACCTCTTTAGCACGACGCTACCTGAACGCGCCCCACGTTAACCCTTTGAGACCCCAACGATCGAATTCGATCGAATTCGATCGTTTGGTATACAGTGACACTAAAATAATTATATCTCTGGTGTTCCTTCACAGATTTTCATAAACAAAGTATCTACGTTTCGAAAAGACCCTTGGCTATCTCTTCGAAGTTCCGAAGTCTCTAGGAGTTATGATGCCGCCGTGGTGAGACTCGAAGTCGGAGACAAACTGAAAAATGCACTCAGATCGAAAAAATTCAAATTTTCATGCTGCACTTGGTAGAGGATTTCCCCGGAATGGTACGTCATACTCAAGCATGCTGCACACCAAAATTTTGCGCTTGAAACGAGCTTTCCGCTGTAGTTTATTTGAAGTCGATGCGATGAAGGAGAATGGAATGGCGGCTGTTTGAACTTTGCTGAAGCTGTTCGCGCACGGCTGCTGTTGGTGGACGAAAAAAAATCGAGTGAACTGCTCACACACTGTAGTAGCGGTGACGGTGAAAACTAGGGCTGAGTCGGGTAGCATTTTCTTTGGGTATCGGGTTTGGGTAGTTTTCCACGGGTAGCACGGGTACCCGATCGGGTAATGTTTCCATGGGAATACCACAATGCACTATAATGTACAGAAAGGACTTGCTAAACGACTTGAGCAACAGAATTGTGTCGCTAAACTCGATTTGTCGTTATACCCAAGGTCGTTATATCCAATCTCCACTGTACTTGAATTTGTAGACGTGCACTGTCTACTTGATGTCATCTGCGACTTCGGGTTCTCGGGTACTATTCTGTACCCGTCTACCCGAGGTCCTCACGGGTAGCACGGGTACCCGACTACCCGTGCACACCACTAGTGAAAACGTGTGACTTGTGGGAGTAGGCCCGCATGACATGCATGCGCACATCCTGCCTCGCCATGCACTTCTGCATGTATGCACCAGATAGTGCAGTGATGGACGGAAACCGCACGGCCCACATACATGCGAGCATTTACTTCTGCGACTGTTTTCACCCCCATTTTCCGATCTTCAATCGACTATATCTCTAGATTGCCTTGGAATTTCGGGTTCAAATTTTCACAGGTTGTTTCTCACATCTTCCCGGTTTCGAAAAATTAGCGTTTTATGCGAAACTCGCGAAGTTGATTTTTCAATTGAACTCCCTACCACTACTATACTATGGGGATTTGTGTGGAAATATTCACTGTAAGTGTCACTTCGTTCTTATAGAAGCACGGAAATATGATGAACTCTCAGAACTCTCAGTGCTCTTCTTCGTGCCATTTTGCTGCCTCCAGCCTTGCTACTGCTTTGTCACACCTGTAGTAGCTTTATGTTTTGCTACCATAGCTGCTTCGCTCATTCTCTATCATCTACCAGAAGTGGTCGCGTATGAATTCTGGAGAAAAACGTTTCTGTCAAAACGAATCGGTGCCCGTTGGCTGTCGATTGGTTGTGTTTCTGTCCTGACCAGGGTCAGACTCGTCGTGAAAGCGACCATGCATTGAGTTCAGCAGCCGAAAGCTGGGCTCCGAAATATTCTAGAGTTCTGTAAGAACCATGATTAGTCCTGCGAAGGATTTGGCACTTTCGTTACTTATCAATCATGGCTTACCGTGGCCTAGAGCCGCAAAGTGTTGTCGTACGTCGGCCGCACCTTCAGTACAAGTCATCAGCATTGTACCCACTGCACTGTTGAGCTTGTGGGGACCACATATTCCCTCGCACGATAGCCCTTCCGATTACTCTCTTATTCATACATCACACGTACGCCACACGCAGAGGACAGATTATCATTGTTGCTCCAAGGAGAGTCTCAAGAAGAAGGCACCCAAAACAACCAGAATGCGCACGATAAGCATGCAAGCATGCGCACAACAACAAGAACATGTACGATAATCATGCACCCGGTGCAGTCCGCACCAACGTGCCAAAAGGGGCACACACGGGCCAAAAGGGCAGGGACAACATACTTCCACATGAAAAAAAATGCATCCTCTCCTGAGGATGGGAGAAAAGAAAAACAAAACGAGAAGACAGACAGGAGAAAAAGAAATCAAATGTGAACAACATACACATGCAGATACGCAGGGCCAAAACAGTAGGATACATTAGTAACTCCGGACAACAGGGAAAAGCCAAAGCAAAGGGGTGGAAAGAAAACAGACTGGGCCCACCCATAGAGGGAACCGCCATACTTTCAGGCGTGGGCCCCCGGAAAACAACCACCTCGCCCTGGTGCGAAGCCAAGGCAAACCGACGGTACTGCGAAGACCGCGGCAGCTGAACCGGGTGACCAGTCATCTGACAGCACAGGAGTTGTCCGGAAAACCATCACGCCGCCGATGGGGCTACGAAAACTCACAGAGACACACACAGAAAGAAAGAAACACGGACTGACGCAAACATCTCAGCAATACTAGGAGCCAAAATTCAGACAAGAAAAACCACAAGAAGGAATGGCAGAACAGCAACGTTGAACACGCCTACGGATACAGGGGCAGTCTATCCATGAGGACACCAGATAGCACACAAACAAATCGGTCACCAATACGCAAACAAAAATTAACATAGAAAAACCACAGGGCGCTACCCTGAATAACCACAGGCCTCTAACCTGAAAAACCCACAGGTCTCTAACCTGAAAAAACCCACAGGGATTGAACCTGAATTATCACGCGTGAAACAAATCCGCTCACGAAACACAAAAAAACACCGTCCTGAACCCTACTGGGACGCACAAAGGCCAGCCAGCAAAACACGGAAACCGAACACCCGCAAGGCGAACCGATACAAATAAGCGCTGGATCCCACCAGCCCACCAGGCAGACCGTGGCTCACCATGATCGGACGCCCCCCCAGGTGAAATGAAGAGACCCACGTGCCAAAACACAAAAAATACCAAACAACACGCTCACAGAAATATTGCCACCCAACGAGAATCTCAGAAGCATGTTACACCACTGGGCGTCAGCCATTCCACATGAGCGGGACAACCAGGCGGAGCACTAAAACGCTCGACACAAAACATGAATACTAGTAAAACGAAAAAGAAAGCACTTGTACTTGAAACTGGAAACGACGGAGTGCCACCACATCGAGTAAATCGATGGGGACATCTACCAAACTGAAACAAATCGAACGACACAGGATCGGAGCAGTCCGACGACACCGAAACGACGTGCACCAGTGCACAACACAGGCGAAAAAGCAAACACGAGCAAAGCTACCCATGCTGACTACCATGATGACGTACGAAGCAACACGATGAGCATGCCCGACAGCACGGACAACAGAACTTTCAAGTCAGAAGGTGTGAAAACACAGTGCACACGACCACTCGAACAGCCAGAGGCCGGAGGGCGACAATGTACACTGGTTCAAAACACCGCACACACAACGTGGGCCACAATCATGTACTAACAGGAGCGAGGCTCGAACGAGGTACTTGTACACAAGAGAACAACACGGGACTTCAATGCCACGAAGCGAAACAATTATTTGAAAATCCCAAATCGAAGACTAGTACCAGGAGGACTACGTACAAGGTACAAAACATTACGCAGGGCAGACAAAGCAGGCTCACCTGAGTAGGAGCTCCGAGGACAGGGTTGAGCAGATGGAGCAAAGCGGAGCCATGGCGAGGACGCGTGGAGAAGGCAAGATTTGAAGCCACGGCAAAAACGAAAACGATCTCAGGGTCGTGGGGAACGATGCCACTAGCTGGGCGCCAATTGTCGTCGGGGGGTTTTATTCCCTCGCACGATAGCCCTTCCAATTACTCTCTTATTCATACATCACACGTACGCCACACGCAGAGGACAGATTATCATTGTTGCTCCAAGGAGAGTCTCAAGAAGAAGGCACCCAAAACAACCAGAATGCGCACGATAAGCATGCAAGCATGCGCACAACAACAAGAACATGTACGATAATCATGCACCCGGCGCAGTCCGCACCAACGTGCCAAAAGGGGCACACACGGGCCAAAAGGGCAGGGACAACACTTAGTCATGCAAAGGAGCTGATACCCTTGTTAGTTGAGCAAGAGTGGCGCCTCTTCTCGCGTCATACGACGTAAAGGGTCTGCAGTGCTTCGTGTACTGTGGACTCCATGCCTTTTTGGAGGGAACACGGCATTGCCGCCTGCAGCTATGTTTGGGGGAAGAGCCCATATTGGGTGAACCTACAAGAAGGACGCAGCTACGCTTCCCGCCTGCTGCAATTAGGGATCTCAGCGCGTGCAGTGCGCATGGTGTTTGCGCATACATTGCGTCATCGAGTTTTGATTGCAGCTCGCGGACACAGCAGAAAATGGCGACGGTCGATTTTCGACACTAGCAGGCGCGGTGGACACTAGCGGAATCGTCATCTTCATCGTCGTTCGAACATACTTTGTGATTCCCGCCGAAGGACAGCGTGGCCAAGGCGATATCGCCCCGGTCGATTTTCCTATAATTTGCCATGCGGCAAGAACCCACTTCAGAGAGGATTCAGTCAAAAATTCAGACGTTTTCTCCGGTTAGATTGTCCTAACTTCGATTTTCAGTGCATCAGCCATCGCGAACATCGCCGCCATTATCACTCAGAGAGAAGACGTCGCGCTCAGTAGAAGAGGTGTTCACGTTGCGTCCAAGAGTGAATTATTGTGCTCTTTGACCCTCCATAGTTCCTCTGAGAGAGTGTCTGGGAGATAGGTAGCTTGGAGATGGCCGTAGAACGTGCTTTCCTGGACGCAAGATTCAGCCATTTCTACTGTCTTCTTCAACTTGATTTATTTCGAAAAAAATGTTCTTTTCCACGGTTTCTTCACTGGACGCGTTTGGGATCGAAATCTCACCTGCGCAGACTGGCTGCGCAGTTCACGCGCTGAGATCCCTACTGCAATGCATCCCAGTCCACCGGATCGCCAACCAAGGTCATGCCAGCATTGTGGAGATTAGTAATATTCACATTTGGGTGAGCGGGCTCCCTATATTGATCTTTGTACTACATTCTAGTTTGGCTGATTGCACCACTGGTTGAACTGTAGCAACAATAATTACGCATTCTTGCCGCTGTGTGCTTTTGATCCCATAATGTAGCATATACAAGGAGCTGTTTTGCTAGCATGCATCTTCGACTCTCGGGGAGCTCACTACTCCCTCGATTCACTCTCGATTCTGGGAGAGTCACTCCGACTCTTCCCTGCTCTGGGTCTTTGACTCTTCAAGCTTGATCTTTCGATCTTGCATTGCAATGGTTCAATAAACACTGTTCAAGGAATTAGAAACCTGCTGTTCTGTGTGAGCTAGCTAACTTGGATGGCGACTATATAAGTCGTCTACCTGGGTAGCCACTAGACTGATCTAAGCCAGGTCACAAACCCGCAACACGCGGCCATGACATTTCTATCAATAATAATTCTCAGACCATTTAGGCTTCTGGGTGCTGAATTGAATGATCTTCGTCTCAGGAGACTGCTAGACATTGCTCTAACCTTATTCCAAATCCAATATGGTCCTGTAGTAATGTGTACAAAAGTCACTGTATTAATCCAGATTTGTCACATACTAGCACCGCACTATTTCTACATTCATTGTGTGCTCGCGATGCCCTCTGTTTCTTTTTCTTGCAGAGCCAATTCTGGGCTTGGCCACTGTTGATGGTGCTAGCACTGGACTGGGTCATCAGCCGGCCATACCACATGTTTTCAATGAAGGATCACCCATCCCACCAGTTGTCTGTTTTCCTAATACTGGACAGCCAACAAGGAACACGGTAACACTCAACATAACTTATGATGATGGTCGCACAGAAACATTCCGACCACCCCCCGTTGCCAGAGGAGTAGATTTCCCAATCCGCAGTGCCCGGAATTCATCTGGGGTCTATGTGTGCTACGCTGCGAATGAAGCAAACACTGGCCCTTTTCCCCCTATTGTTTTCACATTCAATGTAACTGTATATTTCCGACCTGACTTCTCTAACACTGAGCGTGAACGTTCTGTTGTTGAGGGTACCAGGCTGTTCTTGACAGTCTATGTGTCCAGCCGTCCCGACCTGAGTGCGTTTGACTTGGTCAGTCCCAGTGGTGCAAGGTCCTCATTGCTGTCCCAATATCAAGCTGCAGCACCCACCAACAATCTAATGACTGAGCGCAAGGTGACAGCTCTGGATGTAGCATCAGCGGATTCAACTCACAATGGTGTGTACGTGTGTGAAGCAACCAATCAAATTTCCGGTGGTCCAGGTTCAAGCTCAGTCAATATCACTGTCCGCGTTATCAGTAAGTTTAATACTTTACTCTAATATTCACTCTAACATGGAGTGTCGTTGTGCGTATTTGATATTCCTGTTTTCTTGTTTCTCTCAATTCAGGCACAATAGTACTTTGCTCTTCTTGTTCAGTAGGTAAAAATAATTGTTTGTGGGAACGAATATCCTTGGTCATTTTTGAATATTCACTGGTTGATGGAATGGAAATGGGAAAAGTCTGAAGAAAAAATTGACTGTCACCACCAGGGTACGAATCAGGGACCCCCGCTTTAGGCCAGTGATGCTCTCACCACTGGGCCATGGTGTAGCTGTCATCCAAGCAGAGACCGTTCAACACATTTTTTGAATACTCATATTTTTTGTCATCACACTCTGTGTGCTCTGTTTTCTGTGTGCTCTGTGTGCAGGCCCTCCCGGTGCACCACGCAACATCACCCTTCTCTCCAACGCCTCCACCTTCATTGAACTGTCCTACGTGCAACCGGCTGATGATGGAAATTCCAATATCATTGGATACAGAGTCATGTGTAGCACTGACTTTGGTGATGCCAGTCGTGAAGGACATGTCGTGGTAGCTAATGTGTCCGCCCTCACTGCCAACATAACGGGACTGTACGCTGGAGAGATCTACACATGCACAGTTGAGGCGAGAAATGAAGCCGGCTTTGGAGCATCGGCCTCGCGCAGTGAAATAGAACTTCTACCGGGTGGTAAGTTTCTCCCGTGTTTTGTCTATCTGTATGGGTTACTCAATTCTGGACAGCTAGCTGTTCCACCTTGTTAGGTCTCTCTTCAGCAGAGCTCATAGCTGTTCCACCTTGTTAGGTCTCTCCTCAGCAGAGCTCACAGCTGTACCACCTTGTTAGGTCTCTCCTCAGCAGAGCTCCCAGCTGTACCACCTTGTTAGGTCTCTCCTCAGCAGAGCTCACAGCTGTACCACCTTGTTAGGTCTCTCCTCAGCAGAGCTCCCAGCTGTACCACCTTGTTAGGTCTCTCCTCAGCAGAGCTCACAGCTGTACCACCTTGTTAGGTCTCTCCTCAGCAGAGCTCCCAGCTGTACCACCGTGTTAGGTCTCTCCTCAGCAGAGCTCACAGCTGTACCGCCTTGTTAGGTCTCTCCTCAGCAGAGCTCACAGCTGTACCACCTTGTTAGGTCTCTCCTCAGCAGAGCTCACAGCTGTACCACCTTGTTAGGTCTCTCCTCAGCAGAGCTCACAGCTGTACCACCTTGTTAGGTCTCTCCTCAGCAGAGCTCACAGCTGTACCACCTTGTTAGGTCTCTCCTCAGCAGAGCTCACAGCTGTACCACCTTGTTAGGTCTCTCCTCAGCAGAGCTCACAGCTGTACCACCTTGTTAGGTCTCTCCTCAGCAGAGCTCACAGCTGTACCACCTTGTTAGGTCTCTCCTCAGCAGAGCTCCCAGCTGTACCACCTTGTTAGGTCTCTCCTCAGCAGAGCTCACAGCTGTACCACCTTGTTAGGTCTCTCCTCAGCAGAGCTCCCAGCTGTACCACCTTGTTAGGTCTCTCCTCAGCAGAGCTCACAGCTGTACCACCTTGTTAGGTCTCTCCTCAGCAGAGCTCCCAGCTGTACCACCTTGTTAGGTCTCTCCTCAGCAGAGCTCACAGCTGTACCACCTTGTTAGGTCTCTCCTCAGCAGAGCTCACAGCTGTACCACCTTGTTAGGTCTCTCCTCAGCAGAGCTCACAGCTGTACCACCTTGTTAGGTCTCTCCTCAGCAGAGCTCACAGCTGTACCACCTTGTTAGGTCTCTCCTCAGCAGAGCTCACAGCTGTACCACCTTGTTAGGTCTCTCCTCAGCAGAGCTCACAGCTGTACCACCTTGTTAGGTCTCTCCTCAGCAGAGCTCCCAGCTGTACCACCTTGTTAGGTCTCTCCTCAGCAGAGCTCACAGCTGTACCACCTTGTTAGGTCTCTCCTCAGCAGAGCTCACAGCTGTACCACCTTGTTAGGTCTCTCCTCAGCAGAGCTCCCAGCTGTACCACCTTGTTAGGTCTCTCCTCAGCAGAGCTCACAGCTGTACCACCTTGTTAGGTCTCTCCTCAGCAGAGCTCACAGCTGTACCACCTTGTTAGGTCTCTCCTCAGCAGAGCTCACAGCTGTACCACCTTGTTAGGTCTCTCCTCAGCAGAGCTCCCAGCTGTACCACCTTGTTAGGTCTCTCCTCAGCAGAGCTCACAGCTGTACCACCTTGTTAGGTCTCTCCTCAGCAGAGCTCCCAGCTGTACCACCTTGTTAGGTCTCTCCTCAGCAGAGCTCACAGCTGTACCACCTTGTTAGGTCTCTCCTCAGCAGAGCTCCCAGCTGTACCACCTTGTTAGGTCTCTCCTCAGCAGAGTTCACAGTAGCTACCTGGACCTACAGTAGCTACCTGGACCTACAGTAGCTACCTGGACCTACAGTAGCTACCTGGACCTACAGTAGCTACCTGGACCTACAGTAGCTACCTGGACCTACAGTAGCTACCTGGACCTACAGTAGCTACCTGGACCTACAGTAGCTACCTGGACCTACAGTAGCTACCTGGACCTACAGTAGCTACCTGGACCTACAGTAGCTACCTGGACCTACAGTAGCTACCTGGACCTACAGTAGCTACCTGGACCTACAGTAGCTACCTGGACCTACAGTAGCTACCTGGACCTACAGTAGCTACCTGGACCTACAGTAGCTACCTGGACCTACAGTAGCTACCTGGACCTACAGTAGCTACCTGGACCTACAGTAGCTACCTGGACCTACAGTAGCTACCTGGACCTACAGTAGCTACCTGGACCTACAGTAGCTACCTGGACCTACAGTAGCTACCTGGACCTATCACAATGATGTCTAGTGAGCTACAGAGATTTTTTTACTCTTTTCTTATCAAGCATGAGTTAAAATAAGGTTCCCACTAAGAGCGCATCGTTTGAAAGTGTAGATTTTTAATAAATGTTTCGGCCGTGTTGATTCTTGTGCAATGGCATCAGTGCAGGAATCGTCTTCTTTTTTCTGGAGATTATGTTCACCACCTTGTACAGTGCAATGTGAGCATAGACTCGGTCGTAGGTCTGTGTGACTGTAGTTTGTAAGGTCTGGACTAGGCTGACTGGGCTGACTGTTGTTTTCACTCTGTATAGAACCGTGCGCACCAGTGGTGATGCAGAACTTCGGGCCGGACAGCCTGTCTCTACAAGTGATCTATCCGTGTGACGGTGGTAATGCTGCCACTTGCACCATCATAAGATCTCCAGACGGCTTCTCAAGCGACATGTGTACAATTGGACAGAGGATCAACGTGAACGACAGTACTGCCGTCGTAGGCGTGGTGTACACATATACCATCACGATAAATAATGGCTTAGGGCCAGTGTCCACAACGTTCAGTGCAAGTAAGTTTTAACTTGAGCGTGTGATGTGTCTGTTGTATTGCCAGAATCATAATTAATAACAGTTCATACCTGCAAAGTAATAAGCCATATGATTTTGAACAACTTCACTAGCCACTTTTGTCTTGTGTGAATTGAAGATGGAGGATGTGCAACACACACTTTAAACAGATTCTCAGTATACAGTTGGGCATGCCGCTGGTAGTCGTGGCAGCATGGTTAATGCCAGTCAGCTCATGTGTGAAGATGGGCGGCCACCCATCTATGCCGCATAAGACCAAAGAGAAGGCGCAACTGAGAGACAGAATCCGACCACAGCCATGTTGCACCAAAAGGACCTTAATTAACAGCTGTGCCATAGCTAGCTGTCTAGGTGAATTTTTTGAAATCACAACATTGTAGCCTGTCATATTCCCTTCCGAGAGAAATACAGCTTGGAGGTTGTTAGCGGTACCGGTACCCAATGGTCTTTTCGTTACCTGTACATGTGCATCTTTGAGATTATTTCAGCGCGATTTGAAATGTCCCTAACGGAACCATCAATCTCTGCGTGTATGTGTGTGTGTGTCTCTCTCTTTCTCTCTCTCTATCTCCCTCTCTCTCCCGTTCCTGCAGGTATCATGACCGCACCCCCCTCTCCTACAAGTAAGCTGAGTTTGTCAATCTGTCTTCGTGTGGTGAACGAAATTGTGTTGCACTCTGTTCTTTCACTATCACACTGCTCAGTATAGCACTGCAAAGTTCTTTCATCTGCTTGACCCCAAACTGTAAACTGACTTCTAATTAAAATCAGCTGGCGACTGACACCAACATCTGTACTTTAGTCCGGGCATGCAAGTTTCCACTTTTGGGGTTAGACTTTCTGTGTCCCTAACTACAACTATACATGCTATTGATTTCCGGCTCTACTTCCTGGTGAGTGTGGTGAGGCTGCATTTTGTTTTTACGGCTGGCAGGACATATGCTTCGTAAAAGCAGACCCTGTGATTTGAGGCGAGCGATCGCTCTCGCGCGCCATCGCACGCCTTATTTTCTTGGAAGGTGCACTTTTTGTCGCGCGCCTGAAACTATTTTTGGCTTGCATGCATGCGCATGTACGCTTTTCGGAGTGCAGCGCAACTCTACTATGAGTCTATGGCGTCAAGTGCACTCATCGATCCATGCGCAGGAACTGTGCCCGCGGTGGAAATTCAGAAAGCAAACGGGGTGAAGCTCATCAAGGGCTGTGACTCCTCGCATAAGGCAAGAGAATTCGTCCGTTTGTTGTCTGCCACTATGCAGAAGAAGATCGCAAGTATCATCTCTTCATCAACTGCATTTTCTGTGTTGAGCGATGGATTGCAGGCCCGCAAAACCAGAAGCGAGAAGGAACTCGTGCTTGTTCGTCTTGTAAAGGAAGGCGAGCCGGTTTTCTTCACCCTAGCCCTGATGAATGTAGACGATTACGGCGATGCGACTGCGAACAATTTGAAGACAGCCATCGACGATTCTTTTCGAGGTGAGGTGCACTAGTCACTGGTGCATCCAGAATTTTTTCTCGAAAAAACCGATATCAATAATGTGCTGTGTTGTTGGAGTGAGAATTTTTGGATCACTCTCCTACAGCTCGCCTGACACAGGCGAGGAGAGCGATAGATCACTCGCCACCTATTTTCAAATCACAGGATCTGTAAAAGCAATGTCATATTTTTCTTCGCTTCTGTGCGAGGAGGGTCTATTTTGTGGCCCGGACGTGGCCGTTTTGGCCAAACGCCTGCTGCACTAAATCCAGCTAACGACATGGCAGTTCTAACGATCTATAACTAACGTGTTCCTGGGACGTAACGGTTGATGCTCGCTCTGCAAGCCCATCTGAGCCAGTGCTGCGCTGTCGTTGATGAAGCAGGTAACCCAGTCTTGTGACCCAGTCTTGTGACCCAGTGGACACAGGGATATTGTGTTATCACCTACTAATATTCTAATCTGAGCAGTGCATATGTCTCATCACTGAGGTGTGCTGTGTCTAGCTGTGTCTCCTAAAAGTTCATTAATCAGTCCGTAAAGTGTTAATCAGTCAGTGCAGCGTGGTTAGTGCGTGGTTAGTGCGTGGTTAGTGCCTTTCTGTAAGATAATACTTATACATTATCGTTCTACGTTCACTCTCTAACACCTAATGTAGAAGAACTTGTGTTAGAGATGAGACAGAGGCAGACAGACAGACAGACAGAGAAAGCGGGGTGGAGAGGTTGGAGAGGGAGAGAGAGAGGGAGAGGGGGGGGGGGGGGGGGGGTTGAGAGAGAGGGAAAGTGCATGCATACCTTGGTTTGTTTGCTCGTGTACAATTGTTCTACTCACCCGCCTTAATTTCCTTTTCAGCAACAGTACAGCTGCAGAGTACCGGATTGCCGAATACCCCGAGTGGTGAGCTCACTGTGTTGTGTGACCAAGGGAGGGGGGGGGGGGTGGATGGGGTGATAGTCATGTACTCCTATCTCTCTTATCCGGACCTCCAAGTTACGGCAACCACGGTCTACCGGGCACCCCGTGGACGAGGTTTAGTGGAAATACCACTACCCCCTTGCCAACATTTGTGGAAATAGTGGCATCATATCCGCGATCTCTGGTCGTTCCCCATCAAAATGTATGCGATACAGAGTAACTGACGTTTCCAAGTTACGGGCAGTGTCTGGTCCCAGACTGGCCGGATAGGAGAGATATGAGTAGTCATACGGCACATGACGCCTCGTATAGTGTGCGTGGCTGATAGAGATAACTTAAAGAAATTGACTAATACCCGCAGTCTGATTTCACTACAACTTCATTCTCAGGTGGTTTTGTTCGAATGCTTTTTGACATGCACAGTATGCGCACACTAATTTCCCCGTAGCATGCCACTGCCACGTGTATGTCTGTCATTCCTCTGCTGTATGCTGTTCGGATTGCATAGTTGCTTTGCTGCAAGCTCGTTTTCCGTGAGATATCTCTGCTCAGATATATCCATCGGGGGCGACTGCAACCTACGACCGTGCATTCTGTCCGGCGGCTGTCGCTCCCTGCCTCGGGCGACGTGTTCATTGTCGATCGTTTGGTGATCAAATTATCACTGATGGGATATGATGTTGTGTGGACCTCTGGCTGCTAATCAGTTAATACTGTGAACATACGGCGTGTAGTCTGTGACGAACAGCTTCTCGTCTGCTGATTGGGTGGGTAATCAACAGTGATCAGGAGGAATCTGGACTATCTAGCCTGAAGTGTTGACGCTTAGCTACGTCTATGCCTGGCATTCACCCCCGAATAAGCTCATCCCTCTAGCCTACTTGTTCATAGTCTGTTGCACTTCTGCGACTGGAACTGCGCTTGCTTGGCACGAGTGCACTTTTAACTAGGCCACCTCTTTGGCTAATACTAATCCTAATGCAAGAGCCGCGTGTCTGGCCTTGCGAAGCGTTAGCCACCGCCGCCGCGCCACGCCACGCATTGCGCCTGCTAATACGATAACTGTTGATATCTCACTTCACTGCTCTGCAGCAGGTGCAATAATAACTGGGCTACTCAATTGATGGCTTTGCACACATACCCCACCGTTGGCCATGATACCGACCGTGACTAGTTATCGTGATGTGTGCACGAAGCAACCTGCTAATGGCATACCCTGCTATGACCCCAATGCACATAGTATCTATGCCATTGCCACTGTCATTACCACTGCCATTGCCATTTGTGATTGATTGCCTTTCTCTGTGCCGTCGAGCAAGTGTCCTAATAAAGTTCTCTCCACTCATCTCGATCGGTCTTGTTTCAGTGGCTCCTTCAACTATTCCTCCAACAGCAACTGGTGAGAGTAATGATTTTTCCTCCTTTTCTTTTTGTTTGTTTTTTGGTAAACAACTACAAGTACAACAATGATACATCATCATTCATCTTTTCTCTCTCTCTTTCTCTCTCTCTCTCTCTCTCTCTCTCTCTCTCCTCTCTCTCTCTCTCTCTCTCTCTCTCTCTCTCTCTCTCTCTCTCTCTCTCTCTCTCTCTCTCTCTCTCTCTCTCTCTCTCTCTCTCTCTCTCTCTCTCTCTCTCTCTCTCTCTCTCTCTCTCTCTCTCTCTCTCTCTCTCTCTCTCTCTCTCTCTCTCTCTCTCCCCTCTCTCCCTATCTCTCCCTATCTCTCACTCATCTGCGACATATCTGCAAGCCCTTCATTGACAGCACAACACAACGTGATGCGGCGCAATGCGCATTTGTAACTCTGATCGACGTACCGCTGAGTTTGACTGCTTGGCGATCTCCATTCAGCTTCCAATAGCCAATTTTCAAACTTTGCCCACATGATGCATTTGCCAGGGCAGGAATAGGCGTATCCTTCGCCTCTCGGGGCACAGTGTCATCTTTTGCCGATAGGGAAAACCTGGTGTCCGCACATTACCGGGCCTGCTGTGTAAGAGTGCATTGAAATGCTGGACGAATCGACATTAGTCCGGCATTTAATTTAATCGAAAAGCTCCTTGGACGAAAAAGACGAAGGTAATTCCAGACGAATATTTCTGCTTATACAGTAGAAGCCCGGACTACTATTCGCAATGCATGGGATGACCAGGTAGTGCCATGTATGGTAAGGTCAAGTGTGCGCAAAAACATCTCGTGCATGCACATATTGGTACATGTCCTGGTCGTGTGTACAAACTAACTCTGGGCCGGGTTGCTGTGAATATGAAAGTTTTAGAGATAAGATTGGAATACTGGTATGGAATGAAACAATAAAAGCCCCTCTCGAATAGAAGCCCCTCTTGAATAGACATTTGTTTTGAATAGAAGCCTGGTCAAAATTGGTATTTAAAAAATAGAAGCCCCAGCTTCTGATCGAATGAGTACGGGTAGCACTTGTAGCTGGACAATTTGCTCACCTTTACGACGAACTGCTTTAGGGTTGTGCGCGGCGCTTGTACATGGGTGTCCTAACAACTAATGCTTCGCTGAAATGAGGTTGCGATGTGATCCGAGTCTTTCGATGCTTTTTATATCAGGCATGATGTGCGTTGCACTGTTGCATTTATGGCCCGTCCAACTATCCCGGCTTTTTGTATCACCCTAATCCCGAGGCAGGTGCTGGGTGTGGACACTTCTTTCAGCTGTGCCAGCAGGGCTGTGGCCGGGTTGAAATTAAAGAGGGCAGCTGAAAATAGTTTGTGCATACAGTTAGTTGTACAAATGTGTGCCACTCAGCTGTAGCAAAGAACTGGCCCATTTGCCTATTGACTGGTGCCGACATGCAGGGAATAAATAGTACATGTAGATACATCATGCATGCTGTTGACCTTGATTGTGCGCCGGCTTTGTTGTTGCTTCTGTTCGTGTCGTCGTCTTCGTTGTTCCATCCAGTCACAGTCCAAACTACGAACGAGGCGATTACTGAGGAAGCGAGGGGTGGATTGTCGGGTGGTGCGATTGCTGGGATCATCATCGGCGTCATCGTTCTCATTGTCTTGGTCGTCCTGCTGGTTGTCATCATTTTAAGAAACCGTAAGCACAGTCAACTTCGCTTATAACGACACTCAGCGGGGCATCAGAAAGGTGTCCTTATTCGCAAAGTGTCGTTATACCCGAAGTCTTATGTATTACAGTAGGATGGGACTTTGCTCTGGGCATGGAAATTCTGTCGTTATTCGCGAATTGTCGTTATATCCGCAGTCGTTATTAGCGAAGTTGACTGTAGAACGCTTCGCCTAAATACATGTACAGCTGTGGCAAGTGAAATCCGACACTTGGCATAAGGGACTGCACCATGCAGTCTGCAGCCCTGCTTACGTACAGTACATGTGTTCCATACAACTTATCTTTATCTGTCTGATGACGAAACTCGTACTCATCACAGTCAAGGTTCAAAAGGTGCTGGCAAAAATGAATGGGGATTGGATACCAATACTTCTTATGTGTACTTCAGTACCATGTTTGTGAACTGTGTGTATCTACGCTGTGACCTTTCGATCTGTTTGGGATGCATACGGCTCTATAGTACAAATTAGGCGCAGTGCATTACATCATTGGTGACCATTTGTGGCGCTGTCCCGTATGGCAAATGGCGGATTTCACTTGCCACAACTGTACATGTAGCTGAGATGGCTTGTGCTGGATGCATGTAGCTGAGATGGCTTGTGCTGGATGCATTTAGCTGCTTTCAGCTGCTTTTAATAAATGCTGCAAGCACTGTACTGTATTTCATAATGTTTTGTAAAACCATGACAATACAACTCCCTGCGTTGCAGTCTTCTTGACCGAGAGTGTGTAACACCTGCTGGGTTGGACTCGCCTGACGCAATTCTCTTATTGCGTCGTTTTTTCTTGAAAGTTCAAGTGCGTATGCTTTTCCGCGCTTGTCTTGCTTTGTCTGCCGTAGCTGCAGTCTACGAGTTCTTTGCTCTTTTGATCTCTGGCTAGTAGCTACGCTTGGTGGCATCAGTGGACCAAATGGCCACGGAAGACTGATGTCAAAAATTGCTGGGAGATCGTCGAGTTGACCGCCGTGTGTGTGTGTGTGTGTGTGTGTGTGTGTGTGTGTGTGTGTGTGTGTGTGTGTGTTTCTGCTGTTCTGTATTTGAATACTGCAGGTGACAAGCCGTCAGGCAATAGCACTGCTGGTGTCAGGTAATCTATGCTATGCGTCTATTGTTATACTGGTGTGCTGGTGTGCTGGTGTGCTGGTGTGCTGGTGTGCTGGTGTGCTGGTGTGCTGGTGTGCTGGTGTGTTGGTGTGCGGGTGTGTGTTGACACAAGCAGCAGTGACCTGCACTGTGTTGTTGTTAGAGCTGAAACGAGTATCCCGGATATTCGAACATTCGTTCGTTTGGCTTCGCAGAACGAAGAGCTGCTGAATATTCGAACTGAATTTCTTCTGCACATGGGAAATTGAATTTGTGGGCACAAGTTATGCGATCGATTCCACCAACTAACCAGATTTTGTATAGTCAGACGTGCACAATCTAGCACAAAACTGACAGGGAGTACTGAGACATTTTTTCTTTTTCCCATATGCTACTACTTCGGTGCACGGAGTCTGTGTGAGCATGAGCGCAGTTCGCTGGCCACGCGCAGGCAGTCCACAGGCACGGTGCTAGTCTGCACAGGTGCGACCTACGTGCTTCAGCGCTGTTGTGTGCAAGGGTTCGTACTCTGCAGAAGTAAGCCGTGCCTCGAGTCCTCGACTGCAGTGGACATCCTCTGTGTAACTGATCGCAGGAAGTGAACCCACACGGATTTGTCACGTCTAGTTTTGCAGTGCTGTTACGAACCAAGATTCAACACAGGCGCTCGACACAAACACGAGGAGTCGCAGTACCAAGAGTACGAGAGTGCAGGGAATCAAAGTGTATGCTACGACTCCCTGTACACCATCAGCGAAGGGAAATGCTGCATTTGCCCTCCTACTTTGCTACACTGTCGAGCGTGTTTCTGTCTATTCGTTTTTTGGTGTTCAGACCCCACTGCTCTGTGCTCCTTTCCTCGCTTGCGATGTGTTCTTCTATTCGGCTTGTAACACTTGCTTTCGGTGTACCTGTGCTGGTGTTCTGTACCTGAACAGCTACCGCAAGACCAACACCCAGGCATCTTCTCCTCCTAAGGATGAAGTGAGTGTGGTATTATCACTTGCCTGATTCTACCTCACATATGACTTGCACAAAGCAGAACAACAGAGATCAACAGCTTTCTCGCGACTCCAAGTTTCGTGTTCAAAAACACTCATCAGACGAGTGTCTTCGAACACGAGACTTGGAGTCACGAGAAAGCTTTTGATTTCTGTTGTTCTGCCTTGTGTGTGGTACACTCTGCCCTTGTTTTAGGGTATTAAACACTGTTTGCAGCGAGGACCTCAGACACATTTTCACATATGACTGACTAACCACATGAGAGAGAAGAGCTCCAATTGAATCCCTACTTTCCGATGTATACAAAAAGCTCGGCTCTCTGCGCATGAAACATTTCCCCAGCAGTTTCTACAACTCTCTTTGTGACTTCTGAATCATACTGTCTTCAATGATGTAAAAAAGACTAAAAACAACAGTGTGGGAATGAAAGTTCCAATTTGAAGCTACAGGCTGCAGGTATTTTGATTGCTGCTGCTGACGATGGAGATGTTTCGCTCTGTATTCGGGAAAAGGATGTGAAGAAAACCTTGATTCCTCTTTGCGTCCCCGTAACGTTTGAGAAGCCTGTTCTTTCTGCTTTGCATTCACTCGAAGAAATCACATGAAATGTGTACAGGGAATTTTCCGTTCCGAATTTGGCAATGTTCTCACTAATTTGAATGATACTTAGCAGACGCACTTTCTTTGTGTGTGCCACACGTACGCGTACGAATCTGGACCCAAAACACGCGAAGCACTCTGACCCTAACCCAGCCGCCTGTTCTCTACGTCACTTGTCTACGTTTCACGTGGAGCAGGACCTCTCAGTCACGCAACGAGCGGATCAAATTTCGGCGATCACGCCAGGATAGATTGGTAGTGTTGGTCCAGTTACGCTGACAGATAATGGCCACGAAGAGAGAACGGAGGTCAGTGAGGGCTCGGGATACGCAGCAGAGTCTGCTGGGGGAACTGATATTGGTAGAGCAGGTTCAGCGAGTTGGCAAGGCCCTGGGTTTCGAGGGGAATCAACTCGCGCAGTACTTGGAGAGAAAGGTGAAAGAGAAGAACGCTCGAAAGGAGCGTGTCATCTAACAGGAGGAGACGCGTGCTCAACGCGAGCATGCGATACGAGTGGCCGAAGCAGAGTTGCAAGGGGAGCACTCTGCGGTGGAGGCTGAGTCTACCGGTAGACTAATGGACAGCAGTACTGTGCGGGTAAGGACAGCCCCAAGTACCAGGATTACGTTTCCATGGCATGAGGAAACAACGGGTGTATGTATTTGACCGAGCGGAGCTTGGACGGCGAGCGTCACTGGAGATCGGTCCGTCACTCCACCAGCCCGCCACTGTGGACAGTGCCGGGCTGGTATCAGCCATGGATCAGGCTGAGAAGGACCTGGTGGAGATGGAAATGATGTTGGCAAGGAAGGAAGAGTGATCACATGAGTATGCACTTTCTGCCAGTTATTGAAGCAGCAATCAGGCAGTGGAAAGTCAACAAGGTTGAGATGAGTTGTTGTTGTTGTTACTTTATTTTACTTCACCAGACTTACAGGCAGTAGAATGCCTTCTCACTAGACCAGGTCTAGTTCTCACGAATGATGAAGAATGTGAATGAACATGCTAAAGCCAATGAAAAACAAGAAATAGAAAAGAGGAGAAAAACTTGTGTTTTATATTTTATGACGGTATTTGTATGTGAGTGACAGTGATTACATGACAAGGGAAATGAGTGACCAACTGGGTGAAGGTAAACCAAACGTGGCCCATCTGGTGAATGGTGTGGATTACTGTAACGACCTGAAGCAGAAGGTCGTCAATGGCAACACCGCATTGGACAAAGAAGCCGGATGCACAGTGTCGGTGGCCTGTATCGAGGCGAAAATAGAACGGCGGCAGCAGATGGAGGAGCCACCAAGTGTAGCGAACCATAAGCGTGAGGGCCCAGTGAAGCGGGTGCAAACGCAGGACCTATTAGTTTTACAGAGGAAGGCTGACCAACGACCGGCTGAAAATGATGTGCTGGTAGCCATCAAGGTGGTGGAACTGTGGAATGTCCGTCGCAGGGTGCAGCGACAGGGTAACGTGCTCAGGGAAGGGTACAGCGACGATGATCAGCGGTGTGTGGCGCGCCGTCGTATTGATCATGGCGTGCGGAATATCAGAGTTGGTTGCGGTGCTCGTACGTCCGTCTGTTTAGGATTGTGATCCCCAGGAAGTCCTTTGGTGGGCAGTGGAGCCACGCAACGAGCAGTTGCCAAACTGAAAGGACTTCTTGCATGTTATTTTGTCGTAATTTGTCACAGTTGAATTTTCTCGGCTCAGTGTTACTAGTTTTGAATTATTTGCGTTCGATTTGTTTATTTTTTTATTTGGCACGGCTTTTCTGTGTTTGGTTGATGTCATGAGGTTCCATGGCTACACGGACTCTACTCAGTCGCGCATCCTTCTGCAGATCTGGCTACATTTTCGGTTGCACTTTGGATTCCTTATTATTTGATGCATGTAGATTATTGTGGTGCGCTGGCTTTATTTGCGCTGCTGCTGTGGGTGCGTTGTAGGTGCACTTGTACATGCACGTTCTGCTGATAGCGTTTTGGCTTTCGCTTGCGCTGCTTGTTTCTTCAATGTTTCCTTTTCTGGTTAGTTGTTGTTCCTCCCGTGAATGAAGGGTGGGTATATTTCTCTCTCGTTTTCATCATCATCATGTGTGTATTTCCTGTAATGTATTCGTCATGCACGTGCACTTGTACATGCACGTTCTGCTGATGAGAGCGTTTTGGCTTTCGCTTGCGCTGCTTGTTTCTTCAATGTTTCCTTTTCTGGTTAGTTGTTCCTCCCGTGAATGAAGGGTGGGTATATTTCTCTCTCGTTTTCATCATCATCATGTGGGCCAGTGCATGCAATACCGTGTCTAAGGGCAAATTTTTGGAATTTTTTTTCTTTCTTGAAAATCAATCACAGGGGTCTAGAGAACACCTCTGTGGAAGATAAAGTTGGATATCACATTTGAAAGTACATAGAGACCATGATTTCTATGGCATTGTCCAACATAGAATATGCCTCGTATAATGCATTATCTACAGTGTCGCTGAAAGAAGCAACAGTTTTGCGTATCAGCCTTTAGAAGTGGCCAAGACATTCAATGAAGGCTGCCGTGTTCTCCAGTCAAAACCGGGCAACGTTGTCCAGCAAGTTCTTGCGACGTTGAGCTAACAAGAACTCGCGTTCTTTTTGTGCTAAGACAACATGGTGACGGAGTGGCTTCGTTGCAGTATTCTTTTCATCCTATGCACGAGGCGGACGAATATCGTCCTGGAGCAGCTCACACTTGTTGCACACATCTATCCGTTGCGTCATGAACTCGATGGACTTGCACTTCTTAGTCCACACTGTGACAGATACACAAATATACAGTAACCCAAGGTTTGCGATTCACCAGACTGCTCGACAAGTTCCGAAAGGGCAAACTTGTAGGCGACAGATGTAGGTAAGTTTATGGGAGATTCCCCACCTCTCCCTCTTGGTGCTGCAGGCAAAAGGCGACTGAACACTAAGCTGTAGTTCAGAATAAACTGCTGCGCTCTGTCTCCCACTTCTGCACTAAATTTATTCCAAGGCACATTGCCAGATTTCCATGTGCACCAGGATGACAGCTATTGTTCTCCTTGTCCACTTGCACACAGTCATGTTCTGCCAACCACAATCATAGAGCTGAATAAACACGGTTCCACACACGATGTATCCCATCACAGTTTATCCAAATGTGATGCGCGTCCGTTCCGTTGCAGAAGCTGTCGACTGATGCACGACATGTCGACAGTCGACATGACAGGATCGTCATGCGTGCAGGGCAGCCAGCACACCAATATAAAAAAATGCCGAGGTCCTTGGATTTCATCGTCGTAATGGAGGATTGCGCTCGACGTGAAGCTGCTGAAATGGTAGTTTCGAACGCAGCCACAGCCTTCGAGAATCAGTGAGTCCACAGCGACAATGCTCTGAAGCGTGTCCTGCTCATCGTCGCTTGCAGAGTCCACAGAATCTCCGCCTAATTCATCCGCTCTCGACTCGCCTTCAACCTCAACGCAGGAGTCTTTCACTCCCGGATACTTAGCTGGGGCTTCGTCAGAGTCACTGTGAGCAGTACAGCTGCTAGTTGCCGACTGCTCCGACTCGCGACTCGCCAAATAAATTGTCGTCTTCCTCGTCGATAGTAAACCTTGCCGATCTCTTCTGACGCGCCGACGATAATCACGCGAGCGGCACAGCTCAACCGACGTGCTGCTCGGCGTCTGCCGCGAGTGTGTCTACTCAGAGGCCCTTCCTCAAGTGCTACTTCCAACTCCTCCTGCGCCGCCACGTCCATGATGATTGCTGCAAGTCGATCGCTTGTCGCTTCTCTTGTCGTCTTGAGATCGATTAGGAATGTAGATAAGATCCGCGATCGAGCCACAAAAAATATAACTCTTCTTTCCGAGCGATTTTCTCAAAATTCTGAAAGAAATCGGTTTCCCCCGAAGACACGTTTTCGCATGCACTGGCCCATGTGTGTATTTCCTGTAATGTATTCGTCTCTGAACTAAGTTGTGTGAGCCTTGTCGGTCGGATCAAAACCTCTCGATGGTGTTGTTAAAGTCGCCGGCGGCAGTGGTGCTGTTGTTGCTGCTGCTGTGCCCGCGGTTCCGGCTGCTACCTGTCTAATCCAACTGTGTTGTGTGCTGTGTTGTGTGTATGTGTTAGCTTCACTACGCAAATGTCGACCATGCTCACAAAGACGGAGCCAAGGGTGGAGCCGCCGCTGCTAACAAGGGAACACAGTCCACCAACTACGCCCCATTAGACTTTGACAAGTCTGGAAAGAAGGGTGACGCCGAGAATCCAGTAGGAGCTGCGTCCACTATAGTTTAGGAAGGGAGACTTGGTTCCCACTAGCGTGCACAATTGTGTTGCTGTGTGTGTGTGTGTGTGTGTGTGTGTGTGTGTGTGTGTGTGTGTGTGTGTGTGTGTGTGTGTGTGTGTGTGTGTGTGTGTGTGCTTTCGCTCGCATGTCCGTGCGTGTGAGAGATTCATCTATGTCCACGTGTTTCTTTTTCTTCTTCTTTTGCATATACCCCTTTCTTGTGCGTGTTCTGGGCCCTGCTCCCTGCTCCCTGTTCTTGTGCTGATCGCCCCGTGCCAACTAGTGGTACGTGCTGTGGTGGTGGTGGTGATGGTCGTGTGTTATGTCGACGATACCTCTGCTGTCCAAGCAGTGGTGACGTGTGTGTATGTTACGTCCATGATGCTGCCTTTGCTGTGCAAACCGCGGCTGCCTTGATCTGGCCCATGTACAGTCTCCACTCTGTACGCCATGCACCAGTAGCATGTACAGCAGCATCACTCTACGCCCAGCCCACGTTTCTTCAGCACATTGCCATGGTAGTGTGGATTCCCCAGTTGCAAGTTCAGGCTTCCACGCGCTCAGTAGTCTGACTACTTGCTTCCTTCAAGGAAGCGCGTGCTCCAGACCTGTGGCGAGGGGCCCGGTGAACATTGACCAGCGGTCCATGGCTTCATGTATGTGCTTGATAGCCCGTCCCGCTGCCTGCCATGATTGCCATCTTCCCAGCCGTTCCCCCCGATGCGCCCGCACTGCAAGAACCTTTCCGCTGGTCACTTCACTGCATGTGTTTGTTTAGGGACTTGCATGCGAAACAGCTGGAACTGCTGATGGCAAGGAATTCCTGCCACAATGCACATGCCTTACAGAATCGGAACCTGTGTTACGACAATAGAGATAGCTCAATGGTTTGACCTTGCATTACATATGTCGAGAAAGATTTGATGACAACCGAGTCTAGAGCTTTTCATTCCTCCTGTTTTTTATTTGTTTTTTTGCGTGCTTGTTCTCATTGGAGCTGTTGTGTATGTTGTTTGGCGCAGTTTTTGTTTTTTTTGCTTGATTGCAGGTGGCTGTCGCCTGCTGCAGCCAAACTGCTGCCCAATCTGCTGCTGTGCTTTGTGCGTATTTGCATGACTTGCATTCAATATTTACGTCATCGTTTTCCCGTGTCCTGATGCGCCTACAAACGCAAGTGTCATTCTGTTCCTTGTGGCGCTACTCCGCTCCTGCTCATCCATCGGCTTCATTTCTGGTAACATTTCTCGTAATAGGCCCTCTTCTTCTTTTTTTTACATCCTTCTCTCTCCATATGGTGCACCCTGCGTGCTCTTCGTTTCGTCCACTGCTTAGCACTTTTTTAGCTGTTTGATGCTGCACTCAGCATTAAATTTTGTGTTTGTGCACTCAACACTCCACCATCTTGCATATCATGCTGGCCACTTCTTTTTACGGAAAAAAACTGCGCTTCATAGTGTCACATACGGTGTGTTTCTGAGATAGAAAAAAGGACCAAGGAACTACAACCGTACCGTTGGTCAGTGTCGTGCAATACACGGTGATCGCATGAGCTGATTGTCAAGTAACTGGTGGTGTTAGTGGACATCATAGCGTGACTTGTAGTTCCTTGGTCCTTTTTTTCTATGCAATTATCATTGGCTCTCCATCCGAGTCCATTCTTGTTTCTGAGATTGTCATTTTTGTGCAGAAACTTGTGGTGAAGATTACTACAATGTCATGTAGTGTGTGTTTCGCGAAAGGCTCTTAGCTTTAGGTCAGATCTCCTGAATCTTGGAAAAGAGCTTAGCAGAAAAGAGGCTGGTCACTAGAAGGAGAACAACTTCATGGTTCGCGAGAAACTCGGTTAGACCCAGCGAAAATCCCACTTGCTACATGCGTCCATGTTGGAAGAAACCCATCAGTAAAATACATGTACAAGACTAGTAAAGTTCTACATGTAGTAAACAAGGAAGAGGGAACAGATTGAGGATTTGAGATACCAGGCTAGTACGAGGTGATTTGGCTATTTTTAACATTTTATTTTGGTGTTTCTCTGCTCCGGATGGCTGTATCGAAACATGGGTGGTGGCAAATGAGAGCCAGTTTATCGTAGATCAACATTGACCAGAACATTTGGTGCATATAAATTAATTCTCCCTTCCACGTCGGTATAACTAGTGGTGGGTGCTTTGCCATTTTGTGTAAAATGTGTAAAATAAGCCCCTGAATGGACGAGGAGGGCAGTGAATTGCTTCCGCAGGGCCTTTGGACGACGTCAGGCCGTCTTGCCATCACTAAAGACAATAATGAAGAACAGTAGGTCACGGAATACACTCTGTGAGAACGAAAACATGGTTGCGATGCTATGCTACCTATCCAATTCTACCGTATTACACAGCCACTAGTTACAAATACAAAAACACGGCTTTCGCAGCATACAATGCAGTTGACAGATTAATTTTCATCCACTGGCAATCCTTGAAAAGTTAAGTGATATCTATCAACTTCAGAACATTGATGACCGAATATCCCAGTTAGTGATGCCATTTTACAAATTTGTTAAAAAATGACACCAATTATTTGAATCCTGAGAATACTTTGAAAGTAGGACATGATTCAGGACACTTTCCAAAGTGGGATCATTCCCATTTTTTAGACAACGGGCATGAAGGATAGCACTTCCACTTGCAACAATTCATTTAGACGTAGCTTGCCTAGAAGTGGCTGAAAAAACGTCATTTTACAACCATGTTAAAAAAAGCCAAATCACCTCGTAGTAGTACACTGTCATGTAGATCTCACTTGACTGACTCACGACTCCCATCCAGATAAGAGCACACGAGAAGTCCATCGAACATTCCACTCGGCAAACCTGCAAGAAAGCACCATGACTCCCTGCTCGAAATTTATCTGAGTAGGAGATCGGCCCTCGCGACAGGCTAGCTACAATTGTAGAGCGTGGGCCATCCCCTGAATACATAGGTGCCAGACATTCTTTTTTCTTTCTTTTTCTTTTTACCAGGCGTGGGCCATCCCCTGAATGAGGTGCCAACTCAAAAAAAAAAAAAAAAAAAAATTGTAGAGCCTCTGGCCTGGTACGGCCGGCCGTACGGGTAATCCTTGAAATACAGTACTTGCACAATAAAGCCGTTTTTTCAAAGGATAGGGCCTATAATGTAGGGAGAACTTCAAATTCAAAGGATCAGTTGGGGAAGTGAACTGCCTGAAAAGAGAAAAAAGCGCCAGGAGGAGCTGCCTTTGCCCGCTTTGGAGTGAAAAACTTACTTGTAATTGTCAGCACCTTCTACAGTAGTAGGTTCAGCTGGTCCCATATAGGGGCCATAGCTAGCTCAGTGGTTAGAGCATTGCTCATGACAAGCAAGGTCCCGGGTTCGAGTCCTGGACTCCTGGTAAGGTAGGTCTGGCAGTTTTTTCTCTTTTCAGGCAGTTCACTTCCCCAACTGATCCTTTGACTTTGAAGTTCTCCCAATCCTTTCAAAAATGTATCACTCTCTTTCACTTCTGGTAAGGTCCTGACCGTGGTTGGTCCCCTGGGGGAGGGAGAAAGACCCAAGTGCCATCAGTATGTGTGGCACGTGTTGTGAGCTGCCTTTGGAGTGAAAAACTTGTCAGCGCCTTCTAAGTTCAGCCCGGTCCCATAGCTCAGTGGTTAGAGCATTGCTCATGACAATAAAAATTAATTGAATAAAATACACAATGTTTCGGGGAATTCACCCCTCATCTTGAGTAGGCTGTGACTCGTGTGAGGAAGATGTGTCTGAAGAGCACAACATATTCCGGTATACCCATGGTATACTATACGGTGCTCTCCATACCAAAACATCCTCAGGGATACAAACCAGGGAGTCGAAAATACCGGTATTTTACGACTCCCTGGTATTTTACGACTCCCTGATACAAATTCACAATACAGAGACGCTCCGTTTCCAGCGCGACAAACACCTCCCGGACGCCAGATTGCAGCGCGAGTCATTGTCGCTCATGGATGTACTGAACAAACGCTGAGGACCGTTGGCCATTCACAACTTTGCCTCCAAACCATCTAATTCGCTAGGCCGCGCTGGGGACAGGAAAACAGTTTCGATGGACCTCTCGAAGTTCTCGTGTGCTTGGCAATCGTGAGTCAGTCAAGTGAGAATTCAAGTCGGGGAGAAAAGCGCGAGCTCCCACGTAGGGCGCAAACCACCCCAAGTCAAGCATCCAGTTTGCGGACGACATAGCATTGTATTCCTCGCAGAGTTCTGCTGGGGCTGCCTCTGCTACGCTTAGGACGGCAGTCACCAACCTACCTGTTTGGCTACAGCCTACAGGCGAGGAGCCTTGTCCTCAACCCTACCAAAAGCCGAGCTGTGACCTTTCTTCCTCACCGACAGGTGGACAACCCTCTCGTAACTGTCCAGTGTCGTGGAGTAGCCGTTCCAACAGCATCGACTACCACATACCTCGGTGTAGTACTTGATAGTAAGCTTTCATGGGACGCTCAAGTCGACCGAATTGTCAGCAAGACTACCCGTAAGATTGGTGCGCTGTGGCGAGCCCATCGCCCCCTATCCCGATCTGCACGGCGTCTCTTCGTGCAGGCTGTTGTCATCTCTGACATAGTCTATGGCAGTAACGCCTTCTTCCCCGCGCTCCTTGGTCGCCAGCTTGATCGCCTGGGTCTGCTACAGAACAGGGCTATCCGAGCTATCGACGGCCACCCACCCTACACAACCCGTCAACCGCGCATCCCCTGCTGGTGCAGCACGGCTTGTACCGGATAGGCGAACTCAGCAAGCGCAAGCTACTAGTGTTTGTCTAGAGGTGCCTTCACGGGAAAGCTAGTTATCTGTACTGTTCGTCAGATCTGCTGGCAGGGGAACCCGTCATCAGAGGTCCAGTGGTCTGCTCAGTCAGCCATCCTCCACTCGCTCTAGCGCTTCTCAGCCGTCCGTCGCAGGATCTGCACTCTGGAACCTGCTGCCGGATGAAGTTCGGACCATAGCAAGACAGAAAAAAGTTTAGCATACGTTGCCTACCATAAATTATTGTTCCTCAGACTAGCCCGCCCCCTAGCTCTCCTCGACCACCCTGTCACTCCTTGATACTTGCTTGACTCCTCTGTCAGATACTTAGTAGTCGTAACTAGTATTATTTTACTAGGGAACTCCCAACAGGCGTTGCCTTTTTACTGGGAACCCTAGGAATGACTTGGTGCTTGTGACAAATGCAGAAAGGGGCTTAGCTTGACGACATCCAGGTGGAAGCATGTTCCATCTGTCTGCTGCCAAAAATGAAATAGCATTCAGGCCGTAACGAGACGTAGCTCTGGGTTCTTCTTCTTTCGTAATTTTCTAATTCCCGTCCTCTCTTTTCTAAATGCGGCTTATCCATTCGCCTTTATATCATTGGGCCTAGTTCCCGTTTATTGTGCGAATTAAAATAAACCAACCAACCAACATGTTGTTGTTGTTGTTGTTGTTTATTTATTTTACATCGCATGGCAAACGGGCAGTTCTGCCCAATATTATGAAAGCGATGACAACCAGTAAGAAGAGTCAGAAATGAAGAGAAAATAAATGAAAATAAAAATACGAAAACGGAAGTAGCAATGAGGGGAGGCAGGGTCAAGACGAGCAGAAAAAATGGATCTCAAATTTACAAGTCGGGTCATCGTAGCATGATTCTATCGAGTCTCATCAGCAGGTTACGAAAGCCATTACATTTAACCGAAGTAGAACATGTACATTGTACTAGTATCGCTGAAGTCGCACCAACCAGTTACATGTACATGTACCTCCTTTACTTCTTCACAGTCATTCACACTGTCTGTACATCTACATGTACATGTACTACTAAATCCACTGTAGCACGTTATAATAATTATTACATCCATTGGCATTTTATCAATTTTTCAATACCGTAAAAGCCCGTGTATACGCCCACTCGAAAATACGCCCACCCTCCGTGTACACGCCCAGTCAGGGGAAGTCAACACTTTTGTTTCAAAATAGCGCCCAGGTATGCCGGCAACACCAGTACATGTACAGGTGCTGATACCCAATACACTGCTATCCCTATTCCAAGTATACGCCCGGTTCCAAAATAACGCCCGTGCCCTTGTATACGCCCAGGAAATCGATTCTATACGCCCGGGGCCTACACGGGCTTTTACGGTATTGTAGCCCCCGGTACCTGCACGCGACTACAAGGGCAAGGATACAAAAACTACACTGACGATGCAGAGCTAGAGCCAGTAGAGGGCTTCTAATCCAGTGAGTACGGTAGGCGCAGGAGCCTGAGGAGGAGGGGATTCGCTGATCGAGCCTACAGTAGTATGACTCGTACGAGCTCGTCAGGAATGTTTGATTGCATTCCTGTTGCTACTGACTAGTAGTAGTACATGTAGTAGTACTGTATTATTGAAAGCGATCCTGTCAACTAACTGTTCTATTCTTGTGGTTGCTGTATACAATCATG